TCCGATCTGTCTTTTCGAATCCAACTGACGAAACTCCCATATCTTGTCTTCTCATTCGTATATAACATTTACAGTCTGGATCTTAAATCCCCAATTTCTTGCCAAATAAATCCCAAATGCAGAGAGCCATTTTTCGAAAATTTCGTTATTTTCACTGACCCAAAGACGTATTTCAAATTTTCAATCTAAGATAGTTCCAAGTTTCATTAAGGAAGACATCCCAGTTTAGATTCAAACGTGATTCTGGAGACTACACCTGATTCAGGGTAGTATTTAAATGTAAGCAGAACATGACAAGTGCTGATCACAGAAAAGAATAATAAAAGTCTCTTCCTCATAAAAAATTAAAGTAAAACATTCCCCGAAAATCTCCATTTTAGATGGATAACGCTTTCCTGGTGTAAACAAGAAATTAGAAAACCCAAACTAAATGAAGAGAAGGAAAACTGCACCGCAGCTTAACAGGACGGAAACTCTGAAGTCAGGTAAAAAAAATGCTCACGTCATCTTATTTACACACAGGCGTGCGAAAATGAAGAAATGTAAAATCGTTTCCGTGTTTACAAAGCCTGATGTAAACACGCGGGAGGTTGGGAGAACACGTCATTAGCAGCTTATCGAGTGTTTTCCCAACCTCCCAAGTGTTTACATCAAGCTATGTAAGCACGGAAATGTAGTACATTTCTTTTATAAAATAACTAGTGTTGATAACAGTCAAGAATAATAAAAGTCTCTTCCTCATAAAAAATTAAAGAAAAACATTCCCCGAAAATTTACATTTTAGATGGATACCGCTTTCCTGGCGTAAACGAGAAATTAGAAAACCCAAACTAAATAAATATTTGTGAAGTCGAACGCCAAAACACATATTGACAATGATTGTTGATCATTGGACAATATCTTCTGCATACAGTCTGGATGAACGTGTCTGACATATGGAAACCTCTGCTGCCCTAAATGGAGACCATGACGGTTCTAATTGATGAATACCAAATTGTTATTTTTAGGTAATGGTGCAGTACATTATAGCGTATCAAATCTAGGTCAAAAAATAACAGTAAACTAGAAGAACGCGGGCCTTCTGACGTTACGTTATTATCTCAAGTGCAGCCATAACTCGATATACGCACAAAAGCATGAGCAAATTCTTCTATAACAAACAGAGCGACAACAAGGATCTGCGTGAAGAAGCCTTTTTGCAATTGTGACTGTTTTGGTTTTAGTAAATTGCCAATTAACAACCTTATTCTTTAGGTTGAACAAATTTAAAAACAACAATGATCAATTGGTGACTTCTTTTGTACCCAGTGAATGTCTTTCGGCCAAAAGTTGCTGCAGCTCGTCTTCCGAAAAATTTGCGAAACGTGCAACTTGCGAGTTTCTTTCGGCTTTACTTTTGTTGCTTGTTGGATAAGGACCTAGAAGGTCGATGCCGATAAAAAAAATTGGGCAGTTCTTCGCTGGTTTCTTCCATATTTCAAAGAGAAGGAAAATTGCACTGCAGCTTAACAGGACGGAAACTCTGAAGCCAGGTAAAAAAATGTTCACGTCATCTTATTTACACACGAGCGTACGTAAGTAAAGATTTTGTTCATAGCAGGTCAATAGGACTTACATAGGGCAAGCACGCGCGCTATCTTATAATAAAGAACTGGTCCATGCTTAGCGTGCGTAAATCGAGGTATGGATGTACGCGGGAAGTTTGGAGAGCACGAGATACCTCTTACTAACCGAGTTCGAGGGCCCCTCTGCATGTTATGGACCGAGTGTTTTTCGCTCGGATTTATGACCCAAGCACAAAGCGCGCAGGAGCCATAAATCGAGCAGAAAAAACCAGGCTAGTAATTAAAGTTAGTACTTGTGATATAAACCAACAAAATTTTCTAAGGTATCTGCATCTTGGATTGAAAAGAGACGTGAGATGGACGAAATCCGTACAGAGTGGTTAATGACTCTGCCACGTATTCCCGAATTTTTGGCGGCCTTGGAAATAAATTTGCCAAATGGTTCTTTCCTAAAGGACTTCTCATGTACCAAACATCATCACCTGGTTTTTGCTGGTGTTTACTGCAACGAAAAACGGTTTAATTCGAGAACAGTGACAATACTCTAACTCAGTTTGGGCGGTTTATGTTACTGATATACCACCAAAATGTATGCAAAAACGTGTATTTCACGCCACTCAACCAAACATTACTAAAGGGAGAAATTGATCCATCAAGAAGTGCAGTATCTCTATAGCATAAATATAAGTACGCAAATTATGATTGGAGATGATCCGGCATCAGAGCGAAATGACCCACTATTCGCTATAAAACTTTATCGTGAAGGATCATGCAGCGGGATGCTGAATTGAATGACCTAATAACTGTGTTATTTACTTTATCATTGGGTACTTTAATTTGCATCTCCACAACGTTCGCAGTCTTTCAGGATTTCTAGACAATCTATTTCCCTTTGAATAGGCCATTTTACAGTTGTGTACTTAGTTGCCAAGCCTTTGATTTGAAGTGAGGCTGAAGGTGACCTTGTTAACACTCCACCATCGTTTGATTAATATGTGCACGCTTTTTTTTACAGCTGAATCTCTATCACAGTAACTTTGCGTTTCCTGTTATATCAAAAATACAATCAAAAACACAAAGTCAAAGGAACAAAATAGGGAACAAAGGCTAGGAAATCAACTGAAATAATTTTTTGTTTGCAATTCTTCGGTACTTCAGTGTTTCCATTAGCCTTTTCGCATCCAAGATCTCATTAGTAATTCTCCCTGCCGTTTGCGAAACAACTCTTATAATGTTAGCTCTGAGAATTTGGTATTGGATCAACTAATAATCCCTTAGCTGATACATTTTTTCTCATCACTTGCCTGTTTGATATTGTATCGATTTGGTAAGGAGAAATTCTGTCTTGGTCACTTGGAGTAAAAGGGTTAAGTAAGAAAGATAGTAGAACCATGCATCATTGCATGCAGGGATTTTCTATACATTTCTCGCGATGAATTATAAAATTTAGTATCGTAAACAATGTAAAAATATGCTTGCGTCTCTTCTTTTTGCTTCAAAATTTTCTTCCTTTTTATTTCGACTTTGGCAACAGTCTCGTATTTGGGTGTCCGAGTAACTTCGTTAGTTGTCCATTGTATAACCTTCTATAAGGTTCAATGACAGGGAAAACTAGCTTCTGAGTAGACCCACACTAACAGGAGGCACCAAGACTCCTGGTTGTCTTCTTCTTTATTACATTTTCTACAGCTAACCAAATTTTCTCTCTCTTTTATTCACTATAGTGCACGCTCTAAAGTACCTTATTAGTGAACATGTGGGTAATGCGCTGACTGTCTCTACAGAGTTTAAGCTCTTGTTCAAAATTCTGACCCGGTCAAATGTATTTTTTATACAAGTGCACTAAACACATCCAAACATGACCACCGACGAACGTCTTTGTTCGAGAAACAAGCCTCAAAAATAGAGTCAGCACAAACTATTGTTAATGTTAAAATTACGAGTTCGACCTTGCGGGCTTCGGAAAGACTCGCACAACGACTATAAAATAATCAGCTACAACTTACACTAGTGAAATTTAGAAAACTAAAATAAAGTACTCAACACGACCAGTTTAGAAACAAAATTTCAAGTTCGAGTAATTGCACAACCAGAGGAGAAAGACAACAATGGAACCTATCTTAAGGAGGTAGGACTGGCACAATCTTTGCATGCTAACCTTAAAAAACCTTGCATCGTAATAGCACTTCACAACACTCCCTTTTTCCATAGAGGCCTTTTCAAAGGGAGGTCGCATCCAAAATCTCCCTGCATTTACTTATCAGTACTCAACAATTTAATCTCCAAGAGCGGCTTTCAGAACATAGCAATCAGGCGGGAACTAAGAATGCAATGACGTTCTGTGTATTGCAAAGAAATTAACTTAACCGGTACCTTTGGCTTGTTTGGGGCTCTAAAATGCACAACTGAATGAGACATAAAACCTATATTTAGCTCTCCAAGATTACACTTAATTAGACCTAAAAGCCTTGATGACTACTTCAGCAAGAAACAATATCAAGGTGATACTAGAAAAACCAAATGTGCGTTTGTTCCAGAGATATATCAACCAGGGTTTGCAGACACACTTACAGGTTATATTGTTGCTATCACCCTCGGAAAAGTAATATTCCTAATCACCCTTTCCTGCTATAACAATAAACTGTCCGGTTGGAGGATTAAAAATGAAAGCGGCATTTTCAAAATCAGCTCCATTCTCATTTGCCAGAGGTATGCAATTAATGGCCTCTTTTAGGAATTTGATACTTGTTTCGTCTTGGTCACTGAGACCTTGCTTGTTTTGTATTATTTTTTTTTTACCTCTTCTACAAGAGCAATCGCGGTTATTTTCTTCACGGGAATTCTTATTTTTTCTGCATAACCCTAAAATGATATAGATGTTATCAATATTGGGAGAAAAATTAGGATGGCGATCAATTCAGCGTTTCCTTATTTATCAATAACCCATAGGGCTCTCATGGCCATTTCAATCAAATTGGAAAACAGACGTTGTAAATAATCATAGTGTTTTGAAAATTCCAACCAGCAGAGGACACACCAGTTGGCTGTATACAAACCGAGTCAAGGAATCGACCTTAGGGAAAAACGAGAACAAATCCAGCGAGTAATAAGGTAGAGGGCTTTCACCCGTGACCACCAGATCACTAGTTCAGCACTCTCACCACACTGCCTCAAACATCGAAGAAGCAATGCCAGTATGCTTCTTCCTATAGTTCACTCTGCAAAGGATCTCCCTTTTTACTCTTACCAGCCGATGGAAGAGGTTTTGTCGAAATAAGTTGCAATTATCAATTTCTCATCAAATTACTCGGATTACTACAGTAACTTTTATGAAACCTTCTATAAGTGTTTGTATTATATTATATAATTAATAATACGCAAATCCGTTTTAAGCGAGTTTCTATCTTACAGTTACCAAATTGGTAATAAAAGTTTCATGTTATGAGAGAGATTATATTGTTGATTCTTTCTGGATTGCTTCATCTTCAGGTGGTAAGACGGCATCTGATGTTTTGATGGTGAGACTTGAAGGCAACCGGCTGCTTTTTCTACTGACGATCTTAGTAAATGCCGTATTTATCTTGGTGCTCAGAAAAATGTACAGCCATGGGTTAACGGCACTGTTGGCGTGTCCAAACCAAAAACACACAAAGCTGACAATCGGCTGTATATGTAGGTAAGCCTTAGATGCGTGAATGACGTACATGATGTGGACCACTTGTGGTGGGAGCCAACATAAGGCAAAGGCACAGGTAACAATAATGAGCATCCGAACCACTCTTCTCTTGGAGGTTTCGAGTTGCACTCGGTTTCCTCTCAAAGTATTCACTCCAGGTGCAACATGGAACCATAAATTCCATGCAGTAATGGTATACAGGAAAGAAATAACGACCAAGGGGACGAGATAGTTGACGACGAAAAGGAGCAGGTATATTCCTCGAAGAGCCCTATCTGGATCACCCAAGATATAAACAGATAGCATGCAATAGGAAGAATTATTGTAGTCCTCCACAGTTTGAATAACAAGGAAAATGGACATGGAGACCAGTGACCCGATCCAAATAAATGGAACGGTTAGTTTAGGCTTTCGAAACCAAAGATGGCGGCGGAGGGGATGAACGATGGCATAGTACCTGTCGATCGCCATGAACATCAGGCAGAGGACGGATGCTGTTATAGTGACGTAGGCAGTGTATACAGCACCTTTGCACATGACTTTTCCAAATACTCCCGGGATCATCCACAAACCTTCTGTATAAATTGCGGAAATCGACCAAGGCATCACAACCAGGGTTACCAGCAGATCAGCGATGGCCATGTTAACGAATATGAAGCTTGTCAGTGATCTGACTTCAGGTTTCTTCCACACGATG